TTTTTTTGAAAAAAATGGGCTTATGCAGACCAAGACTTCATATGTTCAGGCAATAAACAAACATCCAGATCACATCTAATTAAAGTATGTGTTTTCACTGGCTCACCTGTAAGGCAGGTTTGGGTATTGGCTAGTACTAAATCTTTGTGTACTTTTAGGCGAACGTTATCGATCGGTCTCTAATCAGCATCAGATGTGTGCAAATATTCCGGGTTCAGAAAAATCCTGTATACATGGATAATTGTCCGAAATGTTCGTGGCTCAGGATCAGACCTGATACGTTTGGTCGTTTATATCTATGAACATCAAGATAGCTGTGAAGGGTGACTTTTGGAAAGGATATGAAACGATTGTTCTGTCATTTATCTTGAAAGTTTGGCATGCGAATTATTCACAAGCAATAACTCAAAACAAATTTTTTCAAGGCTTACAACATGCGTTGCGATGTTATATGTGGGTTACACGCGGGTTTGATTCATTTTCAAACATTGTGAGAGTAGCCGAGAAAATTCCACTTAGGCTTTGTGCACGTTGGAATTAATTCAAATTATTAACCTCAAAGAAAAATATATTAAAAGCAATGAAACTTGAATGTCGCAGTGTTCTTGAATCGCACCTGACTGCAGTATGTAGGTCTATAGACGCCTCAGCTTTTATTATGGTAAATGAGTGTCTCACAAAATAATGCATGTATGATCACTTGAAAAGCTTTTTTGTATATCTTACTATGCGGGAATTTTAGCAATAGTTGACATCTACTTTTGTAATAGTCATGACTTAATTTCCATGCCATCCTTATCATCCTAGAATGATATGTATTCGTCATTCATATGAATATCTTTTTTTTTTTTTTTTTTTTTTTTTGCCGAGAAGCGTTTAGCAGGAAGTGAGTGGTTTGGCTGACAGTCAAGTATACAGTGTTTATGTCCGATCACATAGCAACTGCCTTGTTCGCTTTCATGATGCCGCTCTTCCTGGACAATCTGTAAAAGTGAAACAATATATTTAAGATCCAAAACACAAGCCTGGAACACAAACTTTAGCTGAATTTATATAATTACAACTGGCGCTTGAAATTTAAGTTACTGGCGAATCGGTAGGGTCACGCTACCCTCTACCAGGGCCACCGATTGATTTTGCACTAAATATTCACAGATATGTCACTGGTTAATTCATGGCACATTTATCCACTGTGTTGCGTTGGAGAAAAGTGAACATAATTGATCTGCAGCCCTGGTAGAGGGACTTCGACTCCCCCCCCTCCCCTCCCCCATCCCACCTCATCATAAAATTGAAATTAAGTAATTCTTTTACTAAAGCGAACAAAACAAGAAACGAGCAAGTCAATAAGCAAGCCCAATAAATTACGAGAACATTCTTCTTATACCGGTAGGGCCTACCGAGCGAAGCAAAAATTTATCCGTGTGCCCCCGTTGTTAAAATGTTGAATACGCCAGTGTAAATCAAACATAAAGAACAAAAAAGCTAGGGTTCAAGCAAAAATATGCCTTCATATAGATTCATTAAAAAATTCACAAATCTTATCGCGAACGTAATGGAATTGTTACTGATATAGGCCTATTACCTGTGCTATGATGTTTAAGATTCACAAAACGGGTCTTGAGTATACCGAGTCCGGAAATTTCGAAACAGATATAGTTACGACATTTTCGGATACGGTATTTCCTATGCCCGTTTACCAATATACTAAATGATGTAAAATTGCATCCAATGGATGTTGCACGTTGGTGGTTATTATCTGGGTCTTATATGGAGATCGATGTATGTAATGGACTTCAGAAGGTGGTGGACACATTTTGATGTTATTCATTTGCGAAAACGTGCATATTTTCAACCACCTACACACATGAAATGTAGAAAATTTTAACCACAGTGACTGGACAATGTGGAGTGCGTGTGGTCAGAAAGAGGCCAATCACTTTTCCGCACAGCAAGGTACGTGCACGTTGCTTGTGTTAGGTTTAATATTAGAAGGCCTATTCCAGTACGAAATAGTTTTAGAGAGAGAGGGAGAGAGAGAAAGAGACTGAGCATTTAAGCAGTTTTTTTAGCTATTTGAGAAACCAAATGTTAATCACAGAAACACTTTAGTGCATATATTTATTTCTTCGCCATAAAGCTATCTCAAATGTAGTAGTTGCTTTTGCGTGCGCTGACTGTTGGATTATTTTGACACCGCAAAAATGCGACAAAAAGAGAAAGAGACAGAATAAATAATGGAAAAGAAAATAACCTTTACTTATAAGATTATTTCACGTGCTCGTTGTCATTTTGAGGTGAAGAGCGTCTCATAAGCTGTATCAACTACTTGAGATCATGCGTTCTTCTCTTCAGAGCCTCGTCGTGCTATGATATTCCAATCCCCACCGATTGTCTTAGATAAGAAATGATGATGGGTCTGGCATACAATATATATACTGCAGTCCATTGTTAACCTTTACCTTATAATTGTGGTTCATCACTATCTGATTATGCGAGTGCTCCTCCATATAGTATAGTAAATATATATTATATGTATATTTAGTGGTCCATACATATTTGTATGTATGTATGTGTTTATATAAAGCACAGTAAGTGGTGAGGCGTCGAAGGTTGAAAAGGATTTCCTTGTTAATTCTGTAGCGGATACTTGAGGTTTGTCTGTTTTTCTCAGCTAAGTTGATTATTCATAGCGGTTTAAAATGCATATAATATTATATTATCGGTTTATATATACGTAAGACGCTCTTAGCCGTTTCGTGATATCATAAAGCATCTTATCAGACTGTATTGTTATGACTGCATTGTCATTGTCTCTAGTAACACTGATCTGATATCTAAGGGAAACGCCTTGTGCCAAAGTACAATATGTAAAAAAGAACGTACTTGCCACATACACTTCTTGTATTTAACTAGCCTTCTTAGGCAACGATTGATACGTCTTTGCCAAGAATTTTCTGTTGAAGACAAATTATATTAAAGCTTATCGCAAGGTGCTCATTTATGCACTATATAACGTATATGTCGCTTAACTACTGAGACAGGTTACGCGTGCGGTAATTTTTTTCAGGAGATAAGCATCCGAAGAAGTCAAAGTATGGCGAGTTACAATTTTGGACGAATTAAAACGGTTTATTTTTTCCAAGGTTTTATCCCGGATTCTCTTCACTGGCTCACTTGTTTAGACACAGTGGTTATAACAAAAGTATATGACATTTACCCGTGGTAACGGCCCATTAATACTATGAACGCTATTTTCGTTGGGTGTTTATTGACAAAATCACATCTTCCACGGAGATTATTTCATATGATACGAAGGCATATTTAATGACAATTATATGTTGAGGTGGGCCTAGCACAGATAATATATAAATGAATTATTTGCAAAAGCGTCGTAATCGTAGGAGCTTATATTGACCTTGGACCGATCATATATGACAATAGACCGTGTCAATGCGGTTCAGCATGTAATGTTATCAACGAGTTATTGTTAAGTCATATATTTATTTGTTTTGTGAAATTTCTAAATCTAAATCTTATGAATTACTTCTAAGAGCAGTTCTCCTGTCATTCTTCTTACAGTTCGAAATTGAAGTAAAAAGAACCCGCGAAAGAGATATGAAAAGGTTAAAGAAAAAGGCCTTCTTTTTGATTGGGCTGATATTTATATATAGTGTAATGTGCAACGTATGCTTTTCTTTATTTAGACAGAATAAGGCAGGTTTACTAGTGCAGTCATTATCACCATTGACCGATAACTGATTTTTCGACAATGAAAAAAGTGATAAACCAATAAATTATATCATAAAACTGATAAATACACAATAAAACACCCGTCGGCTTGCTGAGAAAAAAAAGCTATGTATTCATATTAAACATTTTTAGATATTGCCTTATGAAATAAAAAAAGATTTTAAAAAAATGTATTCTGTTTTTCAGACATCGGCGACATCCAGCCATGCCTATTTTACTATCGACACTTCAATGACGACAACCCTGAGAGGGGTTGCCACGGAAATAACTCCTACTTCTTCACCTTCACTTACAAAGGCATCGCCAAGCCCTAGCGAGACTTCTGCTGACTCCACAAGCACGCTTATGACAGAAGCTACAATTTTCACGTCTTCTCCAGCGGCTACTGAGTCATCAGCTTCCAATATCCAAGCAACCAGCGATGCGTCGCGTGATGGAGTGACGATGAGTTCATTTCAATCACACACGACTGTCTCAGAGTCTTCTACGTATTCGCTGGAACCAACAGTGTTAGCTTCAGCGTCAGATTCATCATCAATAATATCACACTCCTCGACAGCCCCAAATTTTCCTGACAGTTCAACAACCGACAACCACACGACAGAGTTGGATTCATCAAGTATGTCAACTGATGCAGCGTGGGCTTCAACGATAGAGGGAACAATCAGTTCTACTGCCATCCTGACGTCTAGCGATGTTGTGAGCTCATTTTCGTCGCAAGTGGGAAGTTCCACAATGGCTTCAACTAGGAACGTGGAGTCGGCTGCATCGACTTCACCAACCACATCGAGTGGCTTTTTCACCTCTACGGCAACCGACCTGTCATCATCCGTCTCGGTACCGACGACATCGTCATCGACACTGCATTCAACTGGCGTGACGGGTACAGCTGATGCAATCAGAACCACAGAAGAAACGACTGCAACAAACAGTTCCCAGGTATTCCATTCCACCGTAACCACAACGATGAAAAACATGGTAACGTCAATACGAACCACCGACGGAGCGACAGCAACACATCCCGGAGAAAAGAATTTCTGTAAGTAATTATCGATTCTCACCTTTGAGTTTCTCAGCATGTCTCTGGCATATTGAGAGAGAGAGAAAGAGAGAGAGAGAAAAAAAAAAAGAGAGAGAAAGGGGAGAGATAGGGAGAAGGAAAGAGTCCTGGTGTTCTTCTTTTAGGGGTGAAAAAAAGTTAATCGCAGAAGTTCTTTTTTAAAAAGTATTAAAAATCTCTTCTGAAATGATTGAAATGAAAGTGAAGGGCATTTTGTCTAGTCTGTCTTTTAATGCAATGCTACTAATGATCGTAAAATGTAAGACAAATAGATCGAGTTTTGCCTTGGGGATTTTAAGCAAATTGATAGAACTCGCACCTGCTTCGTAATGTTACCGGTGTCTGCCACCAAAGTCCACAATATTGCTTTGTTAGAGTGCATGACGAGAGCAACAAGTTCATTTTCGTGTTTGTATTAAGATATCAAGAGGAAAAGTTAGAGAAGGTAGGGGCTGTTTGATCGACATCTGCCCGTTGATATACCGTCCAGAAATTCTCATGTAAATTTGTATGCGCACCGAACTATAAAAGATCAAGATAGACATATAAAGCGCACTGAAATATAAAAAATGATCCTTTCGCGATACCAGTCGGTTTTCTATTAAACATGTACAAAAGGGCATTGAATGTGCATATGGCTAGACATATGAATTATTTTATACCTGTTGTAGCTTACTGCTGCTTTATTTAAATTCCGCTGAACTAAACTGTTTTATGAATTTCTCTGAATCAATATTGGACACTTGTGTAGTAAAAGTGATATGTATATCTAAAAGCTCGTTTGGCACACTGAAGACCGAAAAGTGACCGAGCACCTTGAATGCCAAAACTCACCTACATGTATAAAGTAACCATTTTCACTGGACTAATCCGTAAATCTATGGTATGGCAAAATCCGGTAAATATAATAAGCATGAGCTATACTTGCTTGTGTGACCACTTGCTACAAAACTCGGGGTGCGGTGGATAAATTATAATCCTGTTGTTTAAGTAACGGTGCCATGTCCGAACATTGGGCCGTGTCTATCTAAATAGACATCAATAGCTGCCCACCTGTGTGTGTAATATATACACGACGGTATCGTTACATGAATACCAGATGATGGCTGTCTTTATTCTACGATGGCGGATTATGTGACAGGCAGTACATGTCTGATAATATTGCGTATAGGCTACAAACTCAGCAAGTTATTAGAATATTAACTCGGGGATGCTATTATTCAAAAGAAGCAAGTGGAAAGGAACGGAAGGACAACTGGTATAGTCTTATCTTACAGTAGGGTAGCACATTGGACTGATATAAAAATGCAACTTAAAAGATTAAGCTTGAGCCCATGGTAAAAACTCTTACGAAGTATTATAACAATGTTTTTAGTTGCGGAAGGGGTCCCGCCACCTTTAAGAATCAAGCGAAGTGAGGTGAAAGGCAACAAATAAGTATTCAAATGGCGTGCAGTCCAAGCGTGTGATATACGACATTAAATCTCAATTTACGTCATTGTAACCAAATCCACCTAATATCTATTGAAAGCACAATGGAAATTATTTGGAGCAGCTGTGGAAAATTCATGATATTAACGGTTTCATTTATGTCTCTTATTAACTCTAAACTTTCATTTTGACGCATTTTCACATTTGCAGTCGAGCACCTGCTTGAAGGAGTTCGGAGCGGAGACGCCTCCTCTATTGGAATTCTGCTCGGGTTTGTGCTGGGAGTGATCCTCATCATCGTGCTGATAGCAGTGACAGTGTGTGTAATAAGGTAGGTATATACTTAAATGGTCCGCTTATTTTTTGGCAGATGACAGTTGTCTTAACCAGGTGTATTAAGATATGTCTACATCAGCAGATGACATTATGATAACGGGTTTAACTATCAAAGCTTGTTGCCGTTTCCTGATAAACGGGCATGGTCTAAGAGATTGTGTCAAAACGGAAAGAATAATGGACCGACGTCTCGTTTGAAACATAAGACCGTGACAAATTGGGAGTTAATTTAATTTCGCAAGTGAAATTCTACTTTTCGAGCATTTTTGTCCCCGTTTGCTATGTATATCACATCCACAGATAAAAAGTCAGTCTTTGGTGACAAAAATATTGCCTGTACTGTATGTCCTTGTATACACAGGGTGAAAAGTGCATTGGTAATCGTATTTACGTCTTCATATGAATTGAATGTTTTCATGTCACGCGCTTGATCTTAAAACGCCTTAGCCTGCGTGGATGTTATTATTTACGTACCAGGTAAAAGTACTAGCAAAAAGTAAATAAACAAACGTGCACATTTACAGTGTGCGTGAGAATAAGGGGGTGAGGTAGGGTTTAGCATGATCGTTGTCGAAGATTAACAGTATACAGTACTCGTGCTAACATGTTCCCCATATACAAGTAGATTTATTCATATATCGTGGTGTCACAGCATATGTAAAAACAACCCTTCAGGCTTATAAGACACTCCAAGTGCCGTCTTAAAGTGCGGTTATACATTTTGTCAGATGTATACTGTGTGTAAACAATTTAGATAGATTCCTTGATAATAGTAATAAATGAAAGGAAATGTTCTTGAAATTTTTATTGTTATTTTATTTATTTATTTATTTATTTATTTATTTATTTTTCATTGTTTTTTCCATAAAGAAAGAATAAGGCATGAGTCACTGTGCACAAAATATTGTCATACAATGCAACGTCAACTCACCACCCTATGACTCACTGTTTTCAAAAACACGAAAACGATAACGGAACTGTTTGCATATTTTCTCGCAAAGAAATTGATATGAGGTGGGGAAAAGTCACTACTATAGTTTTCTTGGCTTAAATTTTGTCATCAAAAGCCCCCGTTAATCAGTGCTTTTTTTTTCATGGAACCAGTGGTGGGTTGCGGATACATTAAATGATCACCCTTTTTAAGCAATATATATATATATGGCCCATCATACTAGTTTGATGGGTCCTAGTTAAAAGTTTTAATCTGTACCGTCTCGTGGTCCTCTCTACTAAGTAATTGTTGCTCAAACATGAAATTGGAATCCAGGTAAATAATTTGACCAACCTGACTCAGTAAGTCGCATTAAAATATGCAGCACTGAATGAAAATATACCGCGGGCGAAAATAGAATGTTGATGACATTTTTTGGGTTTAACCCTAGGATCAAGTGTCGCGCCGTGTTTTCTTACCCCCAATTTACGCCCGAGTTTAACAATGCCGTCACCTGGTCTGTGATCCCGTATAATTAACCAGGTTACATACATAATTGTATTGTAAAGAGGATAGGCCCTTTCCACTAAGGTCAGCGGTAGACAAGCTTTTAGTGAGTGATAGACATCGGAAAGGTCTTCCGGAATTAGTCACGAGATGTGGTAGACGATATTTATATCCGGCCACGGCTCAGAGTGAATTCTTGTTTCTAACGAGTAAAGACGTCGCATTAGACGCGTTAGAGCTCGCATATTGGTATATATATACGTATTTAACAACAAATACGTTCTACTTAACAGGTGATCATGCATCTATTTTGCCTATCTTTCAGAAGAAAGAAAAGACAGCAGCAAGACGGTTTTTTCATGGACGACGAGGGGTTTTCATGGCACAATCGTTCTATTAAGTTCCACCGGGAGGAGATGCCGAAATACGTATACCCAGACTTTTTGAGCACAGGTTTTGAACTGAAAGAAGCAGACATAGTTGATCTTGAAACCTTTGACAGCGGGACAAAACAAATCAGGTCGGATAGCAACAACAGCAATAGTGACAGTTCTTCAAAAAGTCTCTCACTGCCGGCGAACTTTTTAAAGGCCCCACGACGAATGTCTGGCAATGTCTGTCACCACGCTGATGGCTCCGTCGGCAGCAGAAACAGTGTCCGGGCTAGTACTGCGATAAAAAACTTAAGAGACATGAAAGATGGCGTTTCTATTTCTTCTTCATCTAAGATAAGAAATGGGTGTAGAGAACCAAAGTTACCTGGTCCACACGAGACCAGAATACGAAGAAATTCGGACTCGGACGGTTCGGAGACCGATAGATCAAGTATTGGAAGTGATCGGTCCCATGAAAAGGGCATAGTGAACGGTGGGTTCCAACACGATGAACGGAGTAATGAATGAAGGGAAACCCTGTTACAATGGACCTTAGAACGATCCGTTGGTGCTAGTAAAGAATGCGGAAAAAGGAAGACTAGGAGGCTAAATAATTCAAATCATAATGCAAGAATGGTCAGATTTGAAACTGAAAGTGCGGAAAATACAAAACACTTTTAATTTTGAAAATTTTGTAACGTGCTATATTTATATTTATTTTGTTTTCATATTTAAACTTCGTCGTTTAAGGTGCCAATTCCATGTATAATTTTCCGATAGAGGAATCGGATAAAGATCATTCCAGTCATATATCATTTGAGTATTTTATCATACGTACATCAGAGGATGTTGAATTGTCAGAGGATGTTAATTTGTCAGGTACCGTTACAGAGGAATTGCAATTAGGGCTTGAACGCAACGGTGGTCATTATTCATTTTGTGAATGACGCGAAGGAAATTTGCCTATCGTGACATGGAACAATTTCTTGAGTCGGAACCTTTATCGGACGTCAGTTCTGGTAAAGAGATTACGTGAATATCTGAGGAAAGATTTGATCTGGCAGACACGGCCACTTTAGATCGAGATATTCGCCGTGTTATTTAAACAAGAATCACTGACAGTTATGTGAAATAATGGCGGAAATCCCTTTGTTGAAACTATTCTACGTCAAATGGTTACAATTGGAACATTATTATCTGACCAGTTGTTTTACAAGATAGAAGTTAAATTCGAAAGATTGTCATCAGTGATTTGTTACAAGGCCGAAATTTGCCAACATTTTTAAAATATTTTTTTTTCCTATCGCCTCTTCTGATGCATAAACATACGAGGGCGGGTGTAGCAGAAGCTCACAGTAACATATAAAGTAACATACATTTTGTCGATCTCCTTGTCTTACGCACTATTATATGACAAATAAGCATCTCCAATTTTGTTATTTGTGAATAGGTTGTTCATTATTTTAATTATTAAAATGATATGCTTTTTAACATCTTGCATTTGTATATTTTTTTTACTTTGTTAAAATGCAACATTATTTAATAGTTATGATTAAAAACTGCAAGTTTTTGTAGTGAATAAAAACTAAAAAAAATTATGCCTTTGGTGTGTAGTCGCTTTGTAGGAAACGTGGAATCCACCTTGAGGTCAGCTAAGTTAGAACTTCTACAAACATACATATACTAATTTAAAATTCTTTTAAGATTAAAAATTTGTTTACATTTAACTGGGCGGCCTTCCATTTTAAATGATACAGGACTTATGCCTTAATTTCATTATCAAATTAAATTTATTTATTCAATATCATTCTAAACAGAATTTTAATTTTTCAGTTAGTTTGAAAGGCACAGACATGATACAAAACTGGTTATGGGTATGTTTGTTTAACACAAACAAAGGTGTGATAATAATTAACGATTTTATTTACTCGATAACTGAAATATACAAGAAACATTATAACATGTAAAATACAAACATCTTTTTTACAATGTCACCTCCATTTTGACTTTAAAATATTAACAGATCTATAAAGGCAAAACTTGCCTTGCTAGCATTTCTACTTAAAAAGCATCAGCATTCCCTATGTTGTAAATATTAAATGACAACTGACAATAACACAGAAGACATACAGTAACTCATCGTGTTCAATCATCTATGGTTATACACAATACATACAGCTCACAGCGTGAAGGCTAACCACCTTGCTATGCTCTACAGCCCTTGTTTTTACTTCAACATGGAAGGAACAGTACAGAATGTTCTAACTTCTAAATGTAAAAAGTATCAGAAAAACCTTTTATACTGACAATGCTACCAATGACAGTGTTATGGACAAAGTTAATCAACATTTGAATATTTCATGTGTAACTCATGTTTTCCAAGATCTTTTGCAAGATATATATATACATCTTAAACTGTGTCCCATTTCATCCTCAAATAAACTGCCAGGTCAACTTTCAATAAGAATTATGATTTATACATGAATGAATATGGATCAGTTAACAAATTCGGGTGAATTGAATCCATGTTTTAGAACCTGTTTCTACTGGTAGGTATGGAATGTAACATGTACAGTTCATTAGGTACCATATGAGAGAGAGAGAGAGATAGGGAGAAGGAAAGAGAAGGAAAGAGAGATTAAAGGGAATAAACACCCTGTAGGTGTCCCCTTTAATATCAACAGTTATCTACTTTGGTTGACGTTTGCAAAACAAAACACTGAATGGTAAACAATAGTCTATAATACTTTTCTGTATGATTAATTACCTGAATGTCAATATCCTTCAAAATAGCATCAAAAGTTACAACAACATTATTGTTATTTGATATTGTTGTCATCCCACTGACAATTTGTTCCCCTTTTTTTGATTGGTGAAAAAATTCCAACAATGGCATTGGTCCATATTATGGTTGGTGGTGACACCATTGTTCAATATTGTTTCATCAGACCTCAAATTCAAGAATATAAGATCAGAATACATGTTAATTACATAATAATGCACTTTATAATAAAGGCAGAGAACCAATTCCTTCAAGAGTTTCACTTTACCATATACAGGTATTTGCTAATATTCAATGCATTTACCATATACTAGTCCTTCTTTTTACTTATATCATATTTGAGGCAAAATAAGCAATTTTAGTTAATTTACTTGAAAATAATGTTTTTTATCCTTTATCCTGAGGTTTTGACTTTTCTGTTAAAATGTTATTTTAATTTTTGAATTCAATGTAACTACATCTAATGATAACATGACTATCCACAGCACCCAGCTCCCCCCTCCACTAGGGCCCACTGAAATAACGGAATGCTAGGCATCTGTTGAAGTAGAATATAAAACAAAACAGCTTCCTCTTCTCAGTCAGAATCATCTTCATCCCCATAGTCTGTGGAAAACGTTCTTGGAATAACTGGAAAAGAACACAATTAAAATCATTAATGATATGATATTGCCCTGGTGTCAGGACAACCTAAGACAGGATTCGCAAGCAAATATACTTAAGCTTTCATCAAAAATGAATGTGTCAAAGCAAATGATGAATACTGGTGACATTTTCACTTGACTGTTGCTGTTAACGGGATGATCAAAAGCTGCTATTCTCTGCAATTAATGGACTCATTTACATAACAGATGCAGTAGGACAGGCTTGCTTTCAACTGGCCTCCTGTTCAAACAAAGAAACTCTCTTGGGAAATGATTTCCAAATTCTCCGAAAATTTCATGAAAGGCTCCCATAAATTCATTAATCAACTGATATATGTTTTTTCAAACATGCTTAAGACCGCCATAACACTGATAATTCCAATCAGTTAATTGAATTTCTTCACATTATGACAACATTAATCTCATTTAGCCCATCTCAGTAAAACTGTTTACCATCTGCAACAGGGAGAATTTCCATGCAATGGTTTTTCAGCCCATAAACAATCTATGGGCTAATTCCCAATGAAACTATCATTCTATGGTAGATTGATCCAACTCTGCAGGGACTCTCGCTGAATGCAATCAGATTAATAGATGAACATGCCTCCTGGCATTGAGTAGAAGACAGCAAAGATGGTGATGACAGAGTTCGTAGGGAACAACAGGAGGCATGTTAATCTGTAATTCTGATTGCATTCAGCACGAGTCCCATGGAGTTGGATCGATCTACATAGAGCCATAGTTTCAGTGGAAATGAGCCCTATGGTCACTGAGTGCATGCAGGACCATGTCTTTCAACTTAGTTCAATGAACCCCATCAAAGGGAAGAAGCACATCAAAGAGATCACGCAAAAACATGTGGCCTAATAGTAATTCTCACACTGTGACCTCGGATGGCTGGTTGATCCATTTAAAGATCTAACATTTTAGAATTGGCACCATTTCAATACTTTACTACCTTATTAATAGCTGTAGAGGAGGTTTCCAAAACAATGAAATATAAAAAACAAAAACTAGTACTGAGAACTACGTCTTCACTTCATGTTCACCATGACCTCAATTTTTATTATAACAGTTGGTCAGCTTACTAAGGTTTTAAGAAATCTTCATCAAAAATATAAATTACATGACTTGAGTTTATGTTTAAAAAAACGCAATTGAAAACTTGTTTTATGTTTTTTGGTAAGTGAAGACATATTTGTTATCTGAATTCTTTCATGACAGCTTAATTTAAGTGAAATAGGAGAAATTATGCAAATTTTGCAATTAAGCATGCAATTTGCCTATTATGTCTTCAAGTTTGTACTTAAGCAAAGTAAGGCTTCGTTCACATGGAATGTCTACTTTTAGTAACTTATAGTAACTGGCTCGCGCTGCCAGTAATTACCCCGCGGGATATTCAGGACACAGACTGTGATCATAAGACATACCGCGAATAGAAAATAGAATTTAGAAAATAGACATTGCATGTGAATGAAGCCTAAAACAGCCCTATAATAAGTATAATCTAGGTTCTCTGTACTTTGTACTTGTACTTCGTCACTTTTGATACCTCAACTCTCTAATGATACAGCAATGAGTAGGCTATCATAAAACAAGTAATGGTGGGCATAAGGATTTGCACTGAATACATTTAATTTACTTCATTTCTGAATTTACACTACAAACTTATAATCTGGCAAAATTTATAAACAATCCTGAAAGCTCACAAGACAGTAAACAGCTATTCCTGAAATTCCCTAAGAAGGTTATTTTGTGAAAAATGCTAATATTAATTATCAAGCATAAATGGATCTCTTTGTATTAAATTTAAAGTGAGTTATACTTACTTGCATGTTTTAAAAGAGCTGCTGTTTCAGGATCCTTGGCGAGTTCATATGGTTTTTTGCCATCATTATTTTTGATATCAGCCCTAGCATTTTTCTCCAGTAGTAGTGTAACAGCATCAGGGTGGCCCTTCCATGCTGCAGAGTGCAAGGGGGTATCACCTAGTTTATTCTGCAGAAAAAGAATAATAGGCATTTTTATCATCTTATTTAAACTCTTGACTCTGTTTTTGTTATTCCTCAACAGGTGTGTTTACATTACTTCTAATCTAAAATAATTTTTAAAACACTTCAGTTACATATTCAAATTTAAGCACACACACACAAAATTAAAGAAAAAAATCTTTATTTTAATACATTCTCATATTCATTATAAAATATATTTTCATATTAAAAGCAAATCAAAAAAGCACTTCACATTGCAAAACGTTAATACAAGATATTGAGTCTCAATACAACATGAATATATTCTTAAGTCATTTACCTGTACATTGACTTCCACATTAGGCACCTTGAGCAGCGTTTCTAAGCAGTCGATGTGTCCACCGTGTGCTGCCCAGTGGAGGGGTGTGGACCCTGCCTTGTCCAAACCATTCACAGACACCTACACGTATGTACAAGAAGGCTTGACATTCAACTGTGCACTGCACTTGTAGAAAATTTCTAGGTAAGTCATAAGCAGGTGCATTTAACTGGCAACAATTAAAATGCCTATGCATGAAATATAGTGCTATTCTGAATTGAATAAATAAATAAATAAAATGGCTGCAATGCATTCTTGTTTTTTTTAATGGCAATTTTTTTAGCAGTATCACACATGTGTGTGAATACACAGAGTAAATATTCTGTGTTGAAAACTTCCTTTAATGATGCAAATATGCAAAGAAGGCTTTCTATAATGAGGTCAATAGCAAGCACATTTATTTCTCATCTTAACAATTTCATGGCTATAAGGTGGATATACTGTACTAAGGAAATAATATATATTATGTACCTGCTTATATTATGTACATACCCTATTTTTAAGACACTCAGACAAAAAACTAATGTTTCCTCTTCTCGATGCTTCATGTAAGGGGTGCTCTATGGATTCCGTGTTCTCTTCAACTGAAAGAGACAAAGGTCAACAGAATGTCACGACGTCCTCATTACATGTGCTTTATCAACTGATGTTTGCAGTGAATGAACAGTGAAGACATTACCGCTGATAAAAACTCTTTGGCATCTATGAATGAACTCCTGGGAATTTCAGATCTTAGAAGAAGATAATGTTTTCATTACCACTTAGTTCAGAATATGTTTCTTTATTTAGATGTGCAAAGTAGATGACAATAGGTAATGGCAATTTTATGACAGTTCAAGAAAAGAAACAATGGCAATTATGCCACATATGACTTTTCATTCTTCTAAAAATATGTCTCAGTTTATCACACTGTATATCAAGCAGTTAACATCTACTGATAAGTTAAATAGAAAGTGACCTTTTTGTGAATTCAAAGAAGTCAAAAAAAAAAACAAGGCAGCAAAGCTGTCAAATGTACAGACAAAAAACAGAAAATAAAGATGCAAAAAAGGTCATTTTGTCAATTTGATGCAATAATAAATAATGCTTATAATAGCACTGTCAGTCAACACTTAATTTTAATCTTGCACAACAGGTAACATGGTCAATAACAGGAGCGGACCCAGAGATATTTTCTGACAGTATTACAAAGTATCTATGTTGATCCATCCTCCATTTTGATGGTCTTCCAACAGAAAAAAATAGATACCAGTCAATATAAACTTAATAACCTGACTGTCTTCAGGAAGACCCAGAAGATGGTCCACCCCTTCAATAAAATTACAGTTTCAGGACCATGAGAGTTCAAATTCACATTATGAAACTCTCAATATTTGAAAAATGATGACAGTGCATAAAATAATATTACATAATGTTTAAAGACATAAAAAACAATACAACTGCTTATGTGGAAATACAGAAAATGTGCAGAGCCCCAGGCAGATGAGAGTTAAAAGTCACAAATGCAAGTGTTTGA